AAGTATAACTCGCAAACGCATGTCAATAAGGAACACAGCTTTGCACACTTACAGAGCTCGTCCTTTACCCGAAACCTGGATAGATTACGTGACCCAACGCAACCACTGTAATATGCTTGTCCGTGAGGACAAATTGGCTCACCAACAACATTTGGCCTGTCAATTTGCCAACAAAAACTTCCATACGAGCATGTTAACACCATATGGAAATTGAAGCTCGGAATTCCCTCACAACACGCCAGCCGGAGTGGCACTGGGTGCCGAAGAGGCAGCCAACTTCTTACAATTGCTGTATACCCCAACCTTCCAACGAGACGTCCGCCACTGTTATATACCCACATCCCTATCCCCAACGTCAACACTCACTAACATCGATTTTACTGCCACGTCTGTGTTGAAGAAACTGCTTTCACTACGCACCTATACCTTGACCCGTTTCTTCTATATTCACCCAAATGCGCTAAATGTAGCAGCAACAACGCTTGCCTGGAGATTAGTGCATTTCTTCAAAACGTGCTTGCATAAACAAATTGTGCTTAGCATGTGGGTACATCGCGTAATCACACCAACTTTCCAAAGCGGTAATCGCTCGGAACTCGTCAAATATCGCCCAGTGGTCCTCTCGTTGTGGTCTCAAAGGTGATGGAGGCAATTCTAGCTGAGGCTCTAGTAGACCACCTAGAAAGCCACAACCTCATAGCACCCGAGCAACACGGTTTCCGCCAGCACCGTTCATGCACTACAAACCTACTGATTGCACGCAGTAGTTGGACGGAAGCGGTCGATACAGGCAGAGGGACAAACATCTTTTACCTTAAGTTCGCAGGGCGTTCGACCGACTGGAGCACCGCATTCTGCTTTACATACTCGAAAGCTATGGAATTGTTGATCCATTCCTTGGGTGGATAAGGAAATTCCTGCAAGATCGGCAACTGCAGGTCAGAGTTCGAAGTGCGTAGTCCGATCCGATTTATGTCGGATGTGAAATTCCACAAGCATCGGTTCAGGGGTCGCGTCTGTTTCTCGTGTTCATTAACGTGATTCCGCCTTTGACTGCCTCCGATTTCTTGCTGTTCGCTGACGATGTAATGATGTGGCGGACGATCGCCGACCCAGCAGATCACGATGCACTTCAGCGAGACGTGGACAGAGAGTATGGGTGGTCACTCTACAATCTGCCCCTGTTCAATCCGGAGAAGTGTAAGGCAGTTCACATTTGCCACCAGCCTAACATCACACACAAACTTGAAGCTCATGTCCTTCAAGCAGTCATCTAGGAGCGCGACCTTCGGGTGCCAGTTCAGACTGAGCTGGGCTGCTCAGAACAACCTGAGAAGGCGTCAAAGACCGGGAACCAACACGTTGGCATGCTGCGGAGGGCATTTGGGCGGTTTGATCCCTCTGACTGTTCGCAGTTGCTTAACGCCTACGTGCGGCCCCATGTGGAATATGCGATACAGTTGTAGCAGGCCTGGCACAAACAAGAAATTGCAACGCTCGAGACTGCAGGCTGACGAGCCACGAAACACTTCAAAGGGTTGTTCAACCTTCCTTATCAACTTAGGCTGAGGACCCTAAAATTTTACAGTGACCAGTCCCGGCTCCTACCTGGCCAGATAATAATGGTCTACCAGATTTTGAAAAACCCCAACCACGTCTGTCATCACCTACTACAACTAAGCCCCAGCACGAATTTGAGGGGCCACCAGTTCAAGTTAGCCACTCAATACAGTCGGCTAGAATGTCGACGGAACTTCCACTCTCTTCATGTGTGTCAGTTTTGGAAGGCCCTCCCAAATTACGTTGTTTCCGCCCCCACTTTACCAGTGTTTAAAAAAGACCTTGATGTTGCCCCAACCCACCTGCACTGCGAGATATTTCCAGAATCCAGAATCGTACCTTGTTGTTGGTGTTACGACATCTAAACTTGAACCATATTTGGTACATGCTATTTTAATTTGGAACTCCTGTGACTGACGGCTGTCCCTTTGAAACCCAGTGGAGTGATAGTAAGGCTTCTGCCGGGCAGCTAAAAGATCCAACTCAGGTTACAGCTACTTGAAAAGTATAACCAAGAGTGTACTATTTCGACAGCTAACAATAAGCAATATTTATCTGATTCATTGATAATCTCACTTATCGAAATGAGCAAATTTCCACACAATACAAATCGCAGTCCTACTTCAAAATGTACATTTTAAACCGAAAACCACGAAATGAACAGTATTATCTGCAGGATCTTTTTGATGATAGTTTCTTTAGTGGTAAGTTAAACACTAGTGATTCCTGTGTTATTGGGTCAAAGGCTCTCAACTTGCTCGACAGATAAGATGCAAGCGAAAAATACCTAGAACGGCGCAAATATATTTCCTGGGTAATCAACAAAGGACATACGTTGGAGGTGATCACCTTTCTCAGATATTCCTCATGACGATCAACCGCGTAACTACGCATGTGAGCTCAACTAGTGGTTGCGACTTTTATTACAGCAGAATCGATGCGCCCGAGCAGCAGTCAACGTAGCTAACTCGGTAGAATGCATGTGTTGGAAAACGACAAGACCGATTGTGACATGGAAAGTATTGCTCAGGTAGTGCGGGTTTACCATGCGTTCAAAATTGCGCAGTGACTGCCTAACCGTCTTGTTACCTCAACAATAACTAACAATATTTTATATTCTTCAGTAATAGACGGTGAACAGAAGTCCTTTCATTTTTCCACCGAACCCACTGTGACAAAGGCATTTAGATGCATCAGCCGGTGCTACATTGTCCGTGGAAGCCGCTTCCAAGTAAAACGCCCAGACCGGTGTAAGCGATACACTGTGACGACAATGAGAGCATAAAGCGTAGATACCTAGGGACGTAATGCGTGCATGTTTTGTGAGTGACCTGAAACCGTCGGCAACGGAGGGCTTAGAAACGGATATCGATTAAAATCACTGCACAAAAGGAAAAAGAGGCCTGCTCCCATGTGAAGTCAGCAAAATGTTCTGACAGAATTGTGTTACCTTTAGTGACTAGTTTCCAAGTCGCTGCAAACGAGTTTTGAGTTAGCTGCGGCAAAATTCGTCGCACCTAGTCGTCGACACTTGTGTTTTCGGCTTCGAATACTGTTTATCTCGCTCAATTAAGACTCAAATTCAACGATACCATCCAGCTTGTATGCTGTTCCGCGCCTGCACATAAGGACGAATGCATCGAGCTTCATTTGTAGTCTACGCGAGTCTGGCTAATGTCGCGAACACAGAGAACGTGCAGTAAATAGTGGTTGTACAAATAGTTCGAAGTTGTGAAGATGTATGAAAATTCCAGAAGTGCCAGTGATTACTTGTCACTTTGCAATCTATCATGACGAAATTACGGGCTGTAGAACATAGACTTGGATTTGGCAGCAGTCGACGTGTGGCCCGTGTTTGAAATTGAGGAAACCATGTCATATCATATAACACTGACTACACAGGGATATCACAGAGCCTTAATAGACAAATCGAAAGACTCAATTTCCTCCACTCTAAAACCGTGGGGATTAGAGAGCTCGGGGTGCAACATCGATGAATCGAGGTATTGCATAAGAGTAAGTGGAAACATTTGATTTCGTGGTCTCCCGACGTCGTTCCATAGGCTGAGAGCAGTCGATTAGCCGCAAATGATAGACGGACACTTGGTGAGGTAGTGGGACAAGATATGAGTGAACTGAACCACGGTAAAACCCATCTAAGGTCCCTCTGCTTGGTGATGCCCGGGAAACCAAAGAGACCGTCGAGCTATGGGGGTAAAAGGTATCGATTCATGTTTATAAAGGTGGCATGCGCACCACCGACAACTGAGCTGGCGTTGTGCCATCAAATGTTTGTGTTCTCAAATTCCACTCAGTTTTAAGGAGTGAGGACATATGGCTGGATATATTTCAACATTCAGTTAAAATAAAACGTGAATTGCTTCATGGTGTAAAGAGTTGAAATGTTGACTGTCAACAGACAACTTGTTGCAAATTCAGACAGTATCAAGGTGAGGTTGACTTTCACCAACTTTCTTCTCCCCTATCACCTACTAACAGGAAGCAGCACACTACCGGGGACGCGTTCAACTCCCCATAGCACTAACAGAGCATTGACGGTTATAGCTCAGATGTATGCACTTAAGTTCACAATAGTGTGAAGAATATCCCTTTCGCTAAACGCAGCAGGCAATTCCAAGTGTATAACAAAATCAGAAAGCCGATCGGCTAATCATAGCTACTTCTAAAATGTAAGGACCACAAAAGCTTTAAAACCTCTTGGCTTAACACAGCATGCCATCGATTAATCTCAGTTATTCGAACTAGACCGCTCGCAGAAAGCAAACTTGTGTTCATGGAAGTTATGAACGAGCTTCGCTAGATGTTAGATGAATGCAAGTGAAAGGCCTGCACACATGTACACTTGTACAACTAATGAATTATAGAAATACTGAAAAAGCGATATCCTTCGCTTGATCAACTGTAACGCCTCGTTGGCCCCACCGTGGTTGCATCCTTCTGGTGGATGTTTGTTCTACGTACAACGGTTATCAACGAACTCATTTAAACCCACATTCTTGGACAGTGTGTTATCATTGATGCAAATCCACCTGAGGTATCTGAGGTTCCAAATATATCTCTGGAACATCGACCGAAAATGTATCAAAGTAATCAAATGATCACAGGACTGCTTTGTGTGTCTGTATCAATTTTGGAGAAACAATAGATGGAGAGTAAAATCAATCATGCGGAATTTGAATTTGAATTTGAAATAGCAACTTATAGCTAGTGATTTCTACATTGTTTTTTTAGTGCTTGACTTGCTAGTGGTGAAAAAACTAGTCCTGTTGCACGTAACACAAAAAGTTTCTTGGTTTATGATAGTGACTGGCCCTGGCTGTTTAGATGTTTCATCCTAATCTGAGTAGTTAAGGTTAAACCTCGGTGGGGAGCGATGAAATGCACCCAGACTGCTCATTTCGTATAGATCTACCACTTACCTTTGGAATTGGTGCTGGGCAACCCACGCGAGAGTTTCAAATACAGTCTGATGCGCCAAAAGAAACCTTCACGCGGTAGCATCTGTGAAAGGTTAAACGAAGCGAAAAGACGATTTATTCACAAGTCGAACGGAAGCCAGGGATGCAATTCATACTAGCACTGTCTTCTTCCGTGATAGCATCACACTTTGTATTGTAAGCAGAGGTTATATGATGCTGACTAGCAAAATGACGAGTGACAGACATCTCCGTGGCGGCTCTGTGTACACCACGTGCGCTCTGCTTGTTTTCTTGACTACAAATAGGTGAGCGAGCTTCTCCGATACCAATACTCACACTAAAGATGCAGTGGAGCTTCAATCAGAAAAGTTTAGTGTAAGATGAAGCAGCTGGACGTTGGCTGTCGCCGTCCCAGAAAACACCGCACTGGGAGAGTGGTTTAGCACTTGTTTTATCTCATCAGGTTTTCGGGCAGGCAACATCTAATATCGCGCCACTTCATCAGTAGTGGTTCCACTGATTTATTTGCCCAAGGTTCACTGTAATAGGAATCGCGGTCCATAATGCGACTGGAAGTCGCAATTCATTCACAATACAAGTGCTGCCAAATGACCCTCCAATCATAGTAAAAATGGTTACCTAAGTTAGTGACAATTTCCGGAATACATGTAGTATGCGAATTCAATAGTTGAGATGGAACGACGCATTACCCTGGGTTGTGGGCAGTACTTATTTACGAAACGCTTTTAATACCTTATGGTCAAATTAGCTGACACATCTCGATCAAACTAGTTTTTAGAATTTTCTATTTGACGGAGGTCGCAAAATGTCATGCAGCGGAGAGAAAGCCGGGTAAGTTAATTATAACAACTCATGTCAACTCGACCGCGAAAAGAAGGCGAAAACAAGGCAGTGCTCAATGTGTTACTGAGGGGCAACGATAAAAGCGTGGTTGTCCAACAATAGAGCACACCGTCAGTCTACCTCAGAATGACACCTTGGTAAATAACTGACTGAGGCGGGTTGAAGTATGTTTTTTCATATGATATGCAAATCTCCTGTCGAGTTAAAGGTATGTACTTGGTTTTTGTCAGTATTTCCATTCAGAAGATAAGAAATTTGCGCGCGATTCATGGCACTTTGCCCACTTGGCTGTCCGCGAAATTGTGTGAACGTTGCCCGCTGATTTGCAGTTCCAAAGTACACGGATCGATATTCATCGTCTTCCTTAAATTTTGCTTCAGATATGCTTCTTCTCTCACGTTCCGATAAACCGGAGGAGCCAGATACCTCCCATCCATGGATACTTTCGTCTTCTGACAAAACACGTGTTGGAATGAAGCCTAGACTGAGACTCTCCCCGAGCGTGTTTACTGAGAGGGCATTATCCTCCATTTTGATCAAGGCACGTTAAGAAATCCAAATATGCACCTCCAGTAATCTCGAGAGGTTTTTCATCAATCGCAGCGCCAAACGTAAAAGCATTACAATGCAGTGACTCTGAGCTCTAGGTGCACCACATGACTGCACGAGGTATGTGGTTTTATCGATTAAAGCACATGGCGTTTACGAGTATACTTCACTCACCTTTTTCACTCATTGACTTACCATGCCATATCTGCGAACATTAGGCACGATTCGATAAATTTTAAATACAAAATGGTGCTATCATGTTAACTCAGTTATTAAAATGGATATTATTTTGGGATGCCATCGAGATCACTTGTACTAAAGAGAATACCCAACGTTGGCGAAACGAAAGACCTCTTCTGTTTCGCGTCAGTTATTCCGGATATGACCAAAAGTGTCTCCTCCGGAGTCGTTCCGTAGTTCGATGCAACCATATCGCTTGAATCTTGCCTTCATTTATGGCTTGCGTCAGTGTGTAAAGTTGTGGCCAGGGTACTGTACCACTAGTTTCGCTTTAGTTAGCAGTTTGTTATTGAGGAATACCGGTTGTAATTAGAATATATAATGGATAATATATGGACTACAAGGTGCTAATATTGTGAGTATTGAACTGTGGGCTCTGCACACGCATATAGTTGAAAGAGCAGAAAGATCTTCTGTCCTCGTTAACAGTATCAGCCTGTCTCAGTGTCAGTGTCCTTTGTATTTTTAAATAGACAGAAGTAGACGTTTGAAACATAGAGCATCGAGACGATGCACGCATCAAACAACGGAACTCGAATTATTTCTAAGCAAAGGAAATAGGCACTATACAGGGCGTTTTATTAATCATGCCCGGAGCTAGGAGCGGCTGCACTCAGACGCTGACGTACACCGGTGTATTGTCTAATGGTGCCACCAATGCGTCGGGGCAGACTGCATTCCAAGAGTATTGTCGCCTCAAGCAAGTCAAGAATTCGTTTTTATGCACCAATGAAGGGTGAATGTTCAGCTGTAACACACACGCAATCGAAACGACAATACGAACAACACCCTAACCTTACAATGTGCTCCGGGTAGTATGATTCACTTTAGCTGCGAGAGTAGACTTATATAAGCTTACGGGTTGCTTGGAGGCCAGTCACGAGGTGATAATAGCTTTTATGGCGATAGCAATACGGCGCCCATCGACTGTTCATTACATACCGGCCAAGCTGTTATTCTCAGTTGCTAGCACAGCGACCCACTAACCACTTCGCAGGAAAAGCTTTTGCTGCTTTTTCACCTGGGAGAATGACGACTGCTGATCGATCGACGAGTTCAGTGCGGCTGTGGTGTCTGGCTCACGTCCAGTTCTCACAGCCGAACGGCGTGCTCTGTGATCCACGCATGACAGGTCGATTGAGGCTGTGGTGTTTGCTAACGTTCACTGCTCACAGCCGAACGTTCGGTGCGCCCTGCGGTCGTAGGCACACATGTTGTGTCTCTTTTTCCAAACTCACCCCTAATGGTAAAGCAATTTGCGCCATTGGACCGTTAGCAATTCAGCGCACCGGTGTATGTCAGCACCTGAGTACAGTCGCTCCTAGCTCCGGGCATGGTTAATAAAACACCCTATAGTGGAATGGGATTGATCCAACACTTAATGATCAATCGCGCCCGATCTGCTCTTCAGCAAGCAGTGGTTATACCGAAGCTAAGCATCCGCGTGCTCCATCTCCATGGGGAGGTTGAGGTATTGCTGTTCTGACCTAGTCCATCCACTAGTCTAGGTGCGCAATGTGTCCGAGTGCGGCGCGTTTCTGTTAGACAGTGATTAGATGTGGGGGCAGGAGTTGGTTCACGAACTGATGCAAACCATCAAAGCTGGGGCGTAGAGACAAGGTGAAGTCAGCCGAGTCCCATAATAAAGACGAAAGTAGACGCCGCAGTGGACGTATCCGGATACAGGGGTGAGATCATTCCCCTTGTATATTAAGTCTATGTGGCCTCACAAAGAGAGATTGAGCGAGCAAACAGGATGTCCGTTTTGGACGAGGAAACGTCAATACGTGGCTTACGAGAGGACCAGAGGATTAGGTTAACTTGTTAGTGTGAAATACTCCGCAACCAACTGATTGATTACCTCAATGTGATGTCTTCTCACGCTATTTCGAGCAAACTGTCACACAGCGACGCAGTCGAAGCTACCGTTTAAACTCTTGACGCCGTTGTCACTAACCAACATAAGGAACAGAATGATATCAAGCGCAAAGGAATATCCACAATGTGCTCCGTCTGACAACTTACTGCATTCGCTTAACTATAGCATTGGTGTCAGTCCTTCAGCTAAATGGCACCCAGACGAACTACACTGATCAAACCCGACCGAAACAGACCAAATAGCTGTCGGGTGGAATAACATAATCACCAACGTAAGGTTTGCTAAAGCATCTGACAGGTACTTGAATGCAATTCTTCGACTTGCTCGCAAATAAGATGCTACAAAGTCATCTCATCCCTTTTCTACTTCATTCTGCAGCCACCTACAGAAAAACACACCGAAATAGTTAGTGCATCTGCACTATTTCGTTGAATAAGGATTACATTACACTCCACTGATCTTGTGTGATTAGTGGTGGTGGCAGCTACGGGCCCACCATACGTCAACAGAAAAAACGGTATGCTGCTTAGATAGGCGATGACGGGATGCGTCTATGATAGGGGGCAGAAGTGGCGCAAAAGGTCGGATTGATAATGTGACATTGAGGCTACTTTAGGATAGAGGGCTTATTCCGCTATATCGAGTGACGTGGAGCTACGGATATGAAGTCATGTAATACATGAATTAATACTGTTGATTTTCTGGTGTTTCGTCCCTGAGTACAGACATAATCCGTAGAATTACGCGTGGAAGATTTGGGACCGGTATCCAGTGAATCGTAGAACGTATAGTACAAACCAACTACACATAGGGCTTCTATCTCAGGAATTCTGTCGCAAATATTGAAGAGAACTACCGGTCCGGAAGTAACTGTTAGTTTCGCGATTCCACGTGGCTCGGGCTTATCTTGGTGTCGTCATAAATTCACCTGCGATTGGGGCTGTTCGAGCGATGTTTCGCGGTGTGGCTTGGGTATTCAGTAACACTTGATGAGCAAGATGTTGGTGTGACATTATTAGGTGACCTGATGGTGCTAGTTTGTAGGAGGATGAACTCTTCGGCTGTGCGATCAACTTCTGTATGTGGTGGTGAGCATGCCGCTTGATTATCGAACGACTGAGTGTAACGATTTCGGACGAATTGTCTGAAAGATGATCGATCGCTGCGAGAGGCGTACTGACGAGTAGTATGTAATCGATTTACATCTACATGAACGACGCTCGAACACTGACCGACAGTGGAATAACATAGGGATCTGCTCTACGTGAGTGGTTCAAATCAATGCTAGATTTAGAAAGAGCTGTGTTTTTTACATAATAAATCTCTGATGAGGCCTGGACTCTGGTTGTGATCCACGGAGTGGCACAACATTTATTTGTCAGCTTGTGTCAATCGCAGTCACCAAAGTCTCAATGTTTGACGCATGGTATTTTCCGACCATACACTCCATGTACAACGTATCGTTTGACAGCAGGCTACTTATTGTTACATGTTCCTGAAAACACTTCTCATCGACTTCTTCATTCGTGTGGATGGGTAGCTCATGACCGTTGTTGTGTAAGCGGCTTGGTTATGATCGAATTGGGCGGAGCTGTAATCTACGTGAAGCAAGGCAGATCGTCGCAGTAGCTAGTCAACAGGCAAAATAACATTCAGCTAAGCCTAGAATCTCGTTGTGGTTTAGTTCTTTCTTTACCTTCCCCTCATTTCGCTTTCGCTATCGTTAAAGCAACCGAAAGTGGTGCGTGTTTTACTCATCCGTCCATACATCTCAGGCGCCGTCTGTCATCGCCAGCTGGGATAACGCCGTGCAGCTCGCGAAGAGGTGTAATTCAGCAGCACCCTCAGTCCACCTCAGACTTTTACTAACTGGCTGTGATGAAACTGTTCATCTGCCTGAGAAGTTCCTCTTTTGCCCTTCAACTCCCTCGGTCCTTGATGACCCAAAGTACGCCAGAACAAGGAAGACTTGGGAGTCCTCGGCCGGACGCATTAGAAATTCGGCGAGCGATTCGCCGAAACTGAACTCCAGTGTTGTGCGCGCCAATGTAAGAGCATACTTTCCGGCCTTAAAGAAAATTGGTTTAACTTCGCATTGTTTACTGGTACATCATTAATTGTTACACATTCAACTAAGTGCTTATCAGCAGAAACTTCAGATACACCCATATCAACCTAGTGATCCAGCTCACGGGTAAGTCGTTTGCTTTTCACTACACTCGGGTGGAGTTTAAATGAGCGATTATCAATGATTGAGCTAGGGTGTCGTTCCTGGATGCACAAAACATGATCGTGCTTAATGACGGAGCTTTGCATTCTGTAGACGATGAGATGACTGAACCACCTTGAATATATTCAGCCGTATCGCATGCGGAAGCGTAGCAAGTGCGAGGTAGAAGGAGCAGTCCGCCCTGCAAAGACAGCCTTTTTGGTACCGTCGAATGTGCGATAACCATATAATGGGGAAGATATCCGTATAAGCTGCTGGTTAAATATTTATACGTTGCTCTGTATGACGAACACCACATTTGCGCCATGTGTCACACCAGTGCAAACGTGCTTCGCGGCCATCTCCTTCAGTTCAATTCACTTGAGAAACTATGATTCGAGCACCGAAGTGCAGTGGATCCGATTGCCATGACGCCCAGCGCAAGAGTAACAATAAATAACAGTGATAGGACAGTTGGTTTGGGTGCGAATAGAATGTAGAGGGCAGAGATGCAAGAGGGAAATGCGTTAGCCCAATCAAGATAGAACGAAGACCAATTACCAGATGAAAAAACCGAAAGCTGGGACTCCACAGACTGCGTGGCTGCACCATGTCGGACACAGTCTCCAACCATTGATGTTGACAGTCCCGAGATCCCCATCCAGGAAGACGACACGCACCAGCCTGACCAAGTCATGCCTAGATGCCACGTCATGGGCTGACCAATTTGAGGTTTCATCCAAATTGCTGCAGTCACGACGTAGTATACACGCCGAGGAAGCCG